ACCTTATTTCAGAAAGGGAAGAAAAAGCTCAAATTCATGCAATAAAGAATGAAAGACATGAAATTACTACAGACCCTATAGAAATACAGAAGATCATAAACACCTATTTCGGAAACCTCTACTCTGAAAGGTTTGATAACACAGAGGAAATAGATTCCTAGAAGCATACAAAGTACCAAAGCTAGGTAATGAAGATGTAAAACTACTGAATAACCCAATTTCTATTAATGAAATTGAAAATGAAATTAAATCTTTACCTAGAAAGAAGAGCCCAGGCCCAGATGGAGTCACTGAAGAATTCTACAAGAAATAAAAAGAAGACCTTATGCCAACACTCCTCAAAATCTTCAATGAAATTGAAAGGGAAGCAATTCTTCCTAAATCATTCCTAGAAGCAAATATTACTCTAGTACCAAAACCAGAGAAGGACTCAACTGAAAAAGAGAACTACAGTGCAGTCTCGCTAATGAACACAGATGCATAAACCCTCAATAAAATATTGGCAAACAGGATGTAGCAAATCATCAAGATCATACACCACAACCAAGTGGGAATCATTCCAGGCATGCAGGGATGGTTTAATATATGTAAATCAATAAATGCAATACACTATATCAATGGAGCCAAAAGTAAGAATCACATGATCATTTCTATAGATGCAGAAAAAGTTTGATAAGGTCCAACATTAACTTATGATAAGAACCTTACAGAAAATTGGAATAGATGGTCTTTACCTCAATGTAATTAAGGCTGCCTATGACAAACCAACAGTCAATATCATACTAAGTGGTGAAAAATTGAAGGCCTTTACTTTAAAATCAGGCACAATACAAGGATGTCCCTTATCACAATGCCTATTTAATATAGTACTGGAAATACTGGCCAGAGCAATTAGACAAGAGAGAGAAATAAAAGGCATAAATATAGGAAAAGAAGAAGTTAAATTACCATTATTTGCAAATGACATGATATTCTACATAGAATATCCCCAAAACTCCATTGAAAGACTCCTAGATATAATACATAAATTCAGTAATGTAGCTGGATACAAAATCAATACTCAAAAATCGTACACTAACAGCAAAGTCACAGAGAGAGAAATAAGGGAAACCACACCCTTCACACTAGCAACCAAAATAAATGAAATATTTAGGAATTATTCTCATGAAAGAATTAAAAGGTATATACAGGGAAAATTATAACACCTTGAAAGAGGAATCTAAAGATGATCTCAGAAAATGGAAAGACATTCTTTGCTCGTGGATAGGAAGAATAAATATTGTGAAAATGACCATTCTCCCAAAAATTTTATACAGATTCAATGCAATCCCGATTTTTTAAAAAGCCTTCAACATACCTCATTGAACTCGAGAAATCACCCCTAAAATTCATCTGGAGTGAGAAGAAACCTAGAATAGTAAGGACAGATAAAAGTAGCAAAGGCAAGCCAGGAGGTATCACAATCCCTGACTTGAAGTTATACTACAAAGCAACAGTAGTAAAATCAACATGGTACTGGAACCAAAACAGAGCCAAAGATCAGTGAAATGGTTTAGAAGATACAACAAAAACTACAAACACACTCAACCACCTTATCTTTGATAAAGAGGCCAAACATGTTCACTGGAAGACAGTCTCTTTAATAAATAGTGGTGAAAAACTGGCTCTCCATATGCCAAAACATAAAAGTAAAAACCATGCCTATCACTATGTACTAAAATAAAATCTAAATGGATCAAAAATCTAAATATTAAAACAGAAACACTAAATCTCTTGGAAGACAAATTGGGAAAAAACCTTGAAGACATAGGAGTAGGTAGAGAATTCACGAACAGGACTCAAACCAAATGGGAAATACTTCCCAGAGTCAACAATTGGGATGGCCTCTTATTAAAAATTTTCTGCACATCAAAAGAAATCTCCAGCATAGTGAATAAAAAACCCACAAACTGGGAAAAAAATCTTAGTGATCTGCCCCTCAGACAAAGGACTTCTGTCTAAAACATGTAAAGAATTAAAAGAAAATCAGACCTCCAAAATTCAAAGACCCAATCCAAAAATGGGCATCTGAGATGAGTAAGCAATTTTCAGATGAAGAAATACAAATGGCAAATAAATACATGAAAAAATTTTCACCATCAATGGTCATTAGAGAAATGCAAATTAAAACCACACTGAGATTTCATCTCATTCCTGAAAGAATGGCCAAGATTAACAAAACCAACAACAACAAATGCTCGAGAGGCTGTATGGTAAAAGCAACTCTCCTGCACTGTTGGTGGGAGTGTAGACTAGTGCAACCATTGTCAAGGTCAGCCTGGAGATTATTCAGAAAGCTGGGACTGGAAGTACCTTTTGAACCAGCTATTCCATTTCTATGCATATTCCCAGAAGAACTAAAAGCATCATACCGAAGTGATATATGTGCACCCATGTTTATAGCAGCACAATTTTTAATAGCCAGATCTTGGAAACAACCTAAGTGTCCATCAACTGAGAAATGGATTAAAAGCTGTGGTATTTTTATACAATGGAGTACTACTCAGCTATAAAGAATGATCACATTGAGATATATATAAATGGATGCAGCTTGAGACCATACTCATAGGTGAAATAAAGCAAAGTCACATGTATAAATACCGAATATTTTCCTTAGTGTAATAAGTGATAAGAATACATAGAAGTATGTGGTAATCATGATTCCCAATCACATTGGTTTGAATCCATATAATGTTTTCACTCATTAAGTGCAATGGTTTTAACGTGGGTTCTTCGATTTTAGTATCAGTGATAGTACGAATAGCTATTCTGAAGAAAACAACACATCATAAAAGCTAGGGCTGATTTAATATCATCTTGTTTTGAAGTCCCATCAAGCTGTTGTACATGTTTCCACTGGTTTTAACATGTTGTATCTTACTATATTTTACTATATGTGATAGTATAAACAAAATTTTATGGGCAAAGAAATAATATAGAAACCATTTTTCATTTTCTGTTAACTGGTTCTAAATAGCCTGTAATTCTTTCATTCTCTTGAATGGCTTCACACTGTCTTAATATGTTTGATGCTACAGTGTACAAATTTATACTCAAATAATTCAAGGAAAGAGGCACTATGGTGACTAATATTATGTTAGATTATTTGTGGCTGAAACACAATAATGCTTAAATTGTTCAGTTCTGACCTGTGTTGTTCTATTACAATGTCCTCTTTTATCTCAATCTCCACTCTTTTTCAAATATTAATCTGCTTACTTAACTTTTTTCAATTAAGGGAAAACTAGATTAAAAAATTGTGGGATATATTATAGTAACTTTTTTTGTTTTCCTATTAACCTGTTCTGAACCCCACTATTGCTCTCCCCATTTTTTGTCTGATTTTACTGTATTCTATATTGTTTGTTAGTATCAAGTTTGAGGTATAGGCAAGCACTTTGAAGGCAATAAGATTTACTATCATGCCCATTATGGTTTGACTGTTATCTTCTTTTGAAATCCTGTAAGTTCTCCAGTGTAGGTTTTATTGGTCTTGTTTTGCACAGTTTTGATGAATTCTATTATACCTGATGAGATAGGCAACTCTTCTTAAAAATAGCAAGAAGCACAATGGTAACCATTTTTGATAACCTGATATTCTACTTTTGCATCGTGTACTATGCCTATCCTTCTGTTCTAACTGAATCTGTTTTGTTTAGTCATGTTAGGTTTTATTCTCTTCAAAAAAAGTAATTAGAACTGTGGGAGTAAAAAAACACAAAAAGTGTAATTTTTATTGTAAAAAACAGAGGAAAGGAAGGTGGTATCAGGGATATAACTGCATGTTTGTGTGTGTAGGATGGAAAGCCATATTATTGAGCTTTTGTTGAATCATTGAATGGAACTGTCTGCAATCTCACTGTATGAATGTCTACTTTATATGCTTTAATTGTATAATTTGGACAACTGTTTCTAAGATGAAAATATGTAACCTATTAACTAGTGATTTCTTACTGTATTATTTCTCTTGAAATTCTGTATTATTTATACATTTTTTCTGCTTTGTTTTTTATTTCCTTTCTTTTTTCTCTTTAAATAAAAACATAATCAAACCTGGAATGGATATCTTTTATTAATTTATTTTTTGTTACTGGAGGTCAAACTCATGACTTCACATTTGCCAGGTAGGATCTTAAGCCACTGAGCTAAATCCCCAGCCCCCCAAAGTACATCTTTTGCATCCTGTCACCTTCAGATTAGTTGGCTCTACTCTTGGACTTAATATCAGCAAGCACACCAAATGTGAATAAAATCGGTCAAGGCCAAATAGCATTCAAACAAACCAGCTTCAAAGAAGAGTAGTCATAGAAGACAATGTAAGTAATACAGGGTTTCAGTTTAAGTTAACCGGTAATTAAAGATAGTTACCATGGTATAACCTGCTATTTTTCCATTATCTCTCTGTGCCCTCAAATCTAATATGAGTAGACAGGCTGGAACAAAATATAATCAAACTAACCAGAGCAATAAGACTACTGTAGCTTTTACAACCTGATACACTTTTAACAATTCCCTCTGCCTTCTTTTTTTAGGCAATTCCTCACCTTTCTCCTTCTCAGAAGGCTATTATTTACTGTTCAGAGTGATATTAGTCTAGTCTCTTATGTTCAATTTCAGCATACATAAAGATAAAGACAGCTACTACGAAGAGAATGAGAGACATTATTGTAGTCATTATCGACTTCTCCAAAATCTGTCTTGAAGATCGAAAAAGCCTACATCATCCTGTAATTATTTGATTAGTTCTATAACTTTCAGTATATATTCAATGCATTCTAAATGGGAGCAACTATTTGGAAGAAAACTAGAGACAGTAAGATAGACAGTAAACATCTCCAGTGGACGTGCTTTGAAATCTGTGTTTCCTTAACTTGTTTTCTTATGAACTGTTCTGTTCTGTTTTGTCATGTTTAATCTTACCCTCTTTAAGAAAAGAAAAAAAAAACAAGTGTGTAGGACAGTAAGCATATTAATAAGTCTTTGTTGGATCATTGAGGTGAACTGTTCACAGTGTCATTATTTGAATAGCACTTTGTATGCTTTATTTTGTAACATGAACAACTACTTCGAAGATGAAAATATGTAACTAATCAACTAGTGATTTATTATTATTTTTCTGAAATTCTGTATCATTTCTACATTTATTCTGTTTTTTCTCTTTAAATGAACATTACAATTTATCACAAAATATAAAAATTCAATTTTAAAGACAAAATATTAAGTACATAGACACTATCCATGCTTGAAAGTTAGCAGCCCATTTCAGTTTACCATGCTTAATTATAAGATGCCATGTTGAAGCACAAAGACATTTTAAAAAATCTAAAGAGGTACAAGTGGTTAACTGAAAACCATACAACATGTGCACTTGAGGAGAGCTCCACCTCAGATTTGTCATTTCTGGAAAATTTGTGAAGAAATATTGACATCAAACTTCTGTATTGGTTATTTCTTTGGTCTCCTTGGGATTTTTAAAGTAAACTTAAATCTAAATTGTCTGAAGAGTGACACTTTTTCTATGTATTTAACAACAAACATGGATTGCCATATTTCTCACATTGTTAATCCACATAGGATCTCTGCCCAGTGAGCTCTTTCATATATGTAACAATGATCATGTGTGCTGAGAGGATTCCCATAGCACATAGGATTTATCTCTTGTGTGAGTTTCTTCATATATTTCACTTACAATCTGGCTGCTAAAAGTGTCTCCACTTGCTTACATAGCCAGTGATTCTTCCCAGTGTGAATTCTTTCATCTGTTTTGCAGTGACTGTATGCGGTAAAACTTTGCTACGTTGTTATATACACAGGGTTTCTCACCAGTGTGAAGTAATTGATGTATTTTACAGTATCCATGAGTGGTGAAAGCTTTCCCACATTCTTCACATACACAGACTTTCTCAACAGTGTAAATTTTATAATGTATGGGACAATGAGCATTTCTGCTGAAACCTTTCGGACATTCCTTACATATATAAGTTTTCTGCCCAGTGTGAAAATTTTCATGCATTATGTAATAAATACATGTGCTCAAACCATTCTCATGATGCTTATATACACTGGTTTTATCTTGAGTGTGAACTTTCATGTTGTTTACAATGTCCATGTAGGGTAAAAACTTTCCCACATTGCTTATACATATGGTTTCTCTCCAGTGTGAATTATTTCATGTTCCTTACAATTTCCAGAATTGGTAAAATATTTTCCACATTGCTTACATATATAGGGTTTCTCTCCAGTGTGAATTCTTTCATGTTTCTTACAATCTCCCCATGTGTTAAAAGCTTTCCCACATTCCTTACATACATATGATCTCTCTCCATTGTGAATTCTTTCATGTTGCTTACAATATGCACGTGTGTTAAAAGCTTTCCCACATTGCTTACATACATATGGTTTCTCTCCAGTGTGAATTCTTTCATGTTGCTTACAATGTCCAGATTTGGTGAAACCTTTCCCACATTCCTTACATGTATAAGTTTTCTGCCCAGTGTGAAATTTTTCATGCATTATGCAATATGTACATGTGCTCAAAAAATTTTCATGATGCTTATATACACATACACTGGTTTTATCTAGTGTGAACTTTCATGTTGCTTACAATGTCCATGTTGGGTAAAAACTTTCCCACATTGCTTACATATATAGGGTTTCTCTCCAGTGTGAATTCTTTCATGTTTCTTAAAATCTCCCTGTGTGTTAAAAGCTTTCCCACATTGCTTACATGCATAGGGTTTCTCTCCAGTGTGAATTCTTTCATGTTTTTTACAATCTGCCTGTGTGTTAAAAGCTTTCCTACATTGCTTACATACATAAGGTTTCTCTCCAGTGTGAATTCTTACATGAACCTTACAATATGTACGTGTGTTAAAAGCTTTCCCACATTGCTCACATACATATGATTTCTCTCCAGTGTAAATTCTTTCATGTTGCTTACAATATCCAGATGTGGTGAAACCTTTTCCACATTGCTGGCATACATAAGGTTTCTCTCCACTGCAATATTTTTTATGGATCTGAACATTGTGGTGTGTTTCTGTTTCTTTCACATTCACATTACCTTCTGCAGTACAAAGGAATACTTCTTTACACTGATTCCAAGATGTATGTCCATAGGATTTCTCTAGCTTTTCATTTCTGTAAAGAAAAATATCACATATAGGATTGATAACCTAATTACTTAGTTTTTATTGGAGAGTTGAACAAAACTCTCTGCAGTCTCACTATTTGAATCACTACTTCATATGTTTCACTTTTGTATTTCATTAACTATTTCTATGAGCAGCATACATAATCATTGTCTTTAGATTTCTTACTGTTTATTTTCACTTTGAAAGTGGTATTATTTCTACTTATTTTGTTTTTGTGTGTGTGTGTTTCCTTATATTAAATAAAAAAAGAAAAATTCACAGTGAAATGGGTCTCAGTTTAATGACTGCATTAATGTCAAGTTCTCTTTTTAATGGCTGGTAAGAAATACTGACCATGAAGCAACAGAATGGCCTTGTAAGATATGTTGAAAACAACCATTCCCAAAAGACTGGTACACATTTGGAAATCATAAAATGTGGTACCTTTTGAAATGCAGAATATTTAGCTTCACTTTGGGCATGGGTACATATGTGTGTCACATACAGATCATTCTGATATGATTCCCCATCACAATCTCCCTTCTGTCCTTAACCTGAAGTTCCCTTTTCCATATGGTTCATCCTACTTTTCTCTATTAACTCTCTTTCATTTCATTCCACAATTTATATTTTGGTTTCGCATCTAAAAGGAACCCTGTGACCTTTTAGGTTTTATAACTGAGCTATTTCACCGAATTGATGGGAGAAAGCCCCATCGATTTCTTATGGCAAATGACATTATATTATTTATTTTTTGACATTATTTAACACATTTTTTTCTTTTCCATGCTGGAAATGAACAAAAGCTATTAGCATAAAATCTATAGCTTTTTAAAATCTGTTTTAAGAGATTTTCACTTATCATTAAGCTGTGAAGTTTGAACTTGAATTTGCTATTCTGCAAAATCTGATTCCGTGTGTGCTGGATTTACAAGAATGCACAACCACAGAGAGTCTATTAACATTTTCCTTTTCCACAAATCCAGTGCTAGATAGGTAAGATTCTTCAAGGCCTGATCTATTATAACTTGATCTGCTTTGTATATGAGTAAGCATGTATCAGTATTTTATGCAGATTTTGAAATTTTAAAAATATATCCAGGACAAGTATGGTGGGAACAACTTCTAAAGATAACTGCATCCTGATCTTCAGAATGAATGCACTTAACATTCCACCAGCCTACTTAGAATTTTAATCAGAATGGCTGATTCTCTAGAGCATGGCTTGGAAACACAAGCACTCCATTTTATTTCAAATTCTATTGCAAACTTAGCAATTTTTATAAAATGAATGTGTTGTATTCAAATGTATATATGGGTAGAAAAACTGAAGGGAGAATGTCATAACTCAAAGTGTTTGCCTTTCGTACACATCTATATGCAATGATATACATTTTCATGATTTAATTCACTCATTATACATACCGTAGCTTATACATTTTTGGAGAATATTACTGACAGTAAATTGAATGGTACCTCATTTCTTTAGTTGTCACTTTTCTGCTGACTCACTAATAACTCAGGAACATTCCTTCTCCTTGTGAGTGCGGATTACCTTAAGCATCTCCAGTAAATCTTGCATTGTTTTTCAGCTTCCTGGATATCCCCAAGTCCTCCTGAATTGTAGACATAGAAATACAAGCGCTCATTAGAATAATACATACAAATTAATAGATTTTCTTTAGATTTATGATATAATGTGTCCGGGTCTGAGCTACTTTTAAAAATATTTTCACATTGATTTTAATGCAACAGCACTGATGAGCAACATACAACATGCTGACAGCATGAGTGACAAAAGCATTTCATTCTTACCTGTTGCAGTCATGTTCCTAAAGGTTTCACCCATCACATCTCTGTAAAGGTTCTTTTGGGATGGACTCAGCAAAGTCCACTCCTCATTGCTGAAGTTCACAACCACATCCTCAAGGGTCACCACCTCCTAAAGGATCATACATATATTTCTCACATGAAGGTTGAGACACCAGGTGTGTGATATCTTAAATTCTCTCCTACAAATCTGAATCAAAAGCAAAGTGTGGTGGTATATATCTATAATGCCAGCACTCAAAAGGCTGAGGCAGGATGGTTTCAATGAGTTCAGGGCAATTCTAGGCTTCATAGGGTGTTCAAATCCAGCTGATATACATACAGAAAGCTTGTCTCAATAAAACAAAACAAAACTAAACAAATACAACCAAACAAAACAGCTGAATGAAGACTGATTTCTTCAAATTTAAATCCATGTCTTGGTCATTGATTTTGTGAATATACATATTTTTGAAGATAGCAGATTTGATGATAGATTGCAACTCACTGCTAATGTAACAGTGAAATAGGAGCACTGATTCTTGTGCTGAGTCACTGCAATATTCCCTGTGTACTGTCTCTAAAGCAGAGCTCACAGTGAGAAGCCTGCAGGACCAGCATCCTCAAAGCACAGGGACAGATAAATATCCCATCAATCAACTGGGAAGCCAAGCAAGCACCTCCCTTCCCTGGTAAGTGGTGGCAATGTAGCAGACTGTGGCCCATCCAGGGTGCAAATCAGCAGAAGCTCCTGAGATCCATGCCATGCTGGAATTTAGGACACTTGGAAGGCAAGCAAGCACCACTTCTCCCTGGTAAGCAGTGGCGGTCTGGCAGAATGTGGCCCATCCAGGGGAGAACCAGCAGCAGCTCCTGAGATCCACGCTGTTGGGAGCCGCGTCTGTGATAGTTCGCCTTACTCGGCGGACGTGCGGCCTGTGGTAAAGAGCAAAGCCTGAGGTAGATTACCCCTCCCATCGAATATGTTAGTTTCCTGCTTACCGCGTAAACAACCCGCTCAACAATATAGTCTGCCTGGCAACTGATGATGTTAGCCAATCAGCTTGCCTTGCTTACTTTAACATGATTGGACACTGTACCCGTATATATACCGGTGCCACCCCTGGGAGGAAGTAGAAGCCAGGTAGAAGCCCGGAAGTGAAAGCCCAAAAGGAGCCGCGGAGAGCGGACCGATAGAGGCTTCGGAGTGAAGCCCAAAGGGAGCCGCGGGGAGCGGACCAGAGGAGGCTTCAGCTGGGAGCGGCCCCAGGGCAGGCTGTACGGAGAAGGAAAATAAAAAAAAAAAAGGTTGTCCACTACCAGACTTTGTCGTGTGTCCTTCCTGCCGGCCAGAAGCGACATCGACATTTGGTGGCCCGTACGGGGACTGATCACCCCCGAGACGTGGAAGTGGACAACGCTCCAGTACAGAGCTGCGAGACAGGTGAGTTGGGGATAAGCCTGGGCTCTGGGTGGCGCGCACCTACAGGGCTTTTAGACTCCCCTCAGGCTCACGCATAAGTGGCGGATTCCTTGGGCCTCACGCGGTGAGTAACATATTAAAAAATGGGAAACATGCTAGGTAGCAACACTAAGAGCGAGGGTGGTTGTGGAGAAAGCTCTCAAGAGCTTACAAAAGTACGCAGGGTATCTGAGCAGGCCCAGTCAGGGAGCTCCCGAGAGGGGTCCGTCAAGGGGAACAAGGATGCTAAGGAGGAGGACGGGGCTCTAGCCTCGGAGTCGTCTGACTCCGAGGACGAGGGAAAGTTGAATGGCAAGGGGGCCAAAGAGACCAGCTGTCAGGAGCCTAAGTCGCTCAATAAGGAGTCGCAGGGTTCTTTTCCAGCGTTGCGCCGCGAATTGCGCTCTGCTCAACCTGGTCTGCGGAGGAGTAGAGAGCTCCTGAGCGCTCCCCGGCGCGAGAGGGAGGCGATCCCTCGCCACGAGGCGGCCGCCCGGGAGCTCCCTCCCCTTTCACCAGAACAGGAAGTGATGCACGAGCCCCCATTTTCCGCCCAATCACGGCCGCCGTCTTATGCTCCGCCGCCGGCGGATCGGTATTTTTACAGGCGGCTTTGGCAGGGGGGATGCTTGTCTCATGAGGTACATCCACCTGGGATAGATAGTGACCCCTACGGGATATTTCCTGTACAAGTAGCTATGGGCCAGGGACGCAATGTATGGGAGCCTTTTGAGATAAAGCAGATTAGAGAACTTAAAAATGCAGTTACAACCTTTGGGCCGACTGCGCCTTACACCATTGCCATGCTGGAGAATCTGTCTTCTGGGCCCCTCACCCCCGCGGACTGGATTCAGCTGGCAAAGGCGTGTCTGCCCTCGGGTAGTTACCTGGATTGGCGAGCCTGGTATGCAGAGTTCTCTGCAGAGCAGGCTGAGAAAAACGCCAATCGAGGAAACCCGGGGTGGAACAAAGAAATGCTTATGGGAGAAGGTCGGCACGCTGATGATCAGACTCGGTTCCCCGGCGCTGTCTATGAACAAATCAATGCCATAGGGCTCCGCGCCTGGAAGCAAGTAAGTGGTGCCGGAACAGCCTCCTTGTGTCTTTCAAAAATAATTCAGGGTACCACAGAGCCATTTGTTGACTTTGTGGCCCGAATGCAAGATGCTGCCGATAAGATATTTTCTGATCCGGGAGTGGCTCGACCGCTGGTAAGGCAGCTGATTTTCGAGCAACGTACAAAGGAGTGCAAGGCAGCGATAGCTCCTCATAAGAACAAGGACCTCAACGCCTGGATTAGGATATGCAGAGAGATAGGGGGGCCGCTCTCCAACTCGGGAGTGGCTGCTCTCCTGGCCGCGGCTGTACAGCAGAGGGGACCTCGCGGGTAAGGAGGGGAATGTAAGGCTAAAGGGTGTTTTGCCTGCGGGGAGCCAGGACACATTAAACGTCACTGCCCAAACAATGCAGATGCTAGGCCTCGTCCTAGGAATGAAGAACCATATGTTTGTGGGCGATGCAAGAAGGGATCACACAAAGCTGAGGAGTGTAGGTCGGTCTTTGATGCTCAGGGCAACTGTATTTGTGGACAAGAT